GTGCAGAGCCCAGTGCTTGTGGAGTTGGGATTGTTTTTCTCTTGTGTGTCTATCTTTGTAATTATTTCCTCTGGATGTCCTGAGCCATTTTATTACTCAGTAATTCACTCTCATGAGGTCCTTGTATAACTCTTCACAGCACCTCATGTATTTGTGACCCTGTCTGCCTCAACATCAGCAGCGAGCTTCGTCACCCCCTGTTTTCAGATCCTTTTCAAGATTATTTCTGAATATGCTGAAGTGAGCAGACCCCCCTCAGGTCCCTGTGGGCTCCATTCCAGCCCTCTCTCCACTGCCTGTTGAGAGCTGCTCTTTGAGAGTCCTTTCACCAGGTATTTATCTATTTCCAGCCTTTCCTGTTGATCCCATGGTTTAGCTGCATTCCTGTAAGAAACTCACCCGGCAGACCCTTTTGAAATTCCAGGCAGACAATACCACATGCTTATTGACCCCTCTAAAGGGCTGTAACAGATTTATGAAACATTCTTTTATTCCAGGAAAACCAACTTTTCTTCTTCCCAGTATTTCAGATGTATCCAACCCTGCACTAATGGGATTCTTTATTATGATTTCAGTTTGCCCAGGAGGGACCTCGGATTTCAGGGTCTGTCTTAACCCCAAACCCTTTCCATCTGTCAGCTTGAAGCTCTCAGACACTGAGGCTGTTACACACAGTGATTACATGCTACAGTTAATTACTTAAACTGTTTCACCTCTGAGTTCTCACTGAGCACTTGGGTGAAGCATCTCAGTCTGGTGAATTTGCACTCTCTGGTTTGGCTATTTATTCCTCAACTTCTTCTGCTGACACTTGACTGTGTGCCAGGTCCAATGCCACGTCCATATAAAGAGAACTTTTGGCACAGGAACGTCTCCAAGCTTTTCCTCTCTGACTACAGATGCAAAATATTCATTGTTTTTCTGTTCTGACCTTATCTCCTGCGAATGCTTCTCTTGCACTGTGGCCAACTTCTGCCTCTCCAGCCTCTCCAGCTTGACGTGTTTGAAGAAGTATTTATTGTTGTTTGCCTCTGCCCTTTGCAGGTTGCTGCTGTGACTGATTTTGGCTCGCCTTATTTCTCCTTTTTTTGCATTTAAATTGTCAGGATACACATTTTTTGCTGGTTGAGACAAAAATGGCTTTTCTAAACATAAAAAGACTGGTTCCTTAAAGTCTGAGAATCACAACCTGATCCAAGACCCAGTCTTAACCAGGTCTAAGGCTCTGGGTTTCCCACTAGACAGAGACGTGCTGTTTGGCTTGACACCAGATTTTCAAGTGTGATGCATTTCTATGGACAAAACCAATCTCTGGCTGGGATGGATTTTGCCTGGCTTGGCCCTCGGGGCATTGCACCTTCACCGGTGGGAGGAGGGAACATTCTGAGCAGCTGTGATTATTCTGGGAGCTGTTTCGGGGTGAGCCCCCCCCGGGGATGACACGAGCTCAGCAGGCAGAGCCCCACAAGTGGAGGGACTGTGATGTTCCCTGCCTATGTGCCTATGTCTGGAAGGCCTGTTGCCATGGAGAAGCGATGGGAACTGTCTGCCTGGCTCGCCCGACTCTTTTCCTAGCACGAAGCAAAGGCGTCTCTCCAGCTGTAGCGAGCTGGGGGCCTGCTGCCTCCTCTTCTGCACCACACTGGGGTAAACAAGAGCCCCCCACGCCACAAAAGGCAGGGAGGGAGCTCTAAAGGAAGGTAGGGAAGGAGCAGAGAGCAAGAGTGGAAGCTGCTCGTGGGGTGCTGTGGAGTGATGGAGCAGGGGGCACACAGACCAACATGGGAAAATCCCATTAGATACATGGAAATCTTTCCTGTGACAATGGGGCAGACACAGGCCAGAGCATTGGTGGCATCTCCATCCTTGGAGGTCTTCAAAACCCATCAGGCTGAGCCCTGAGCAGTCACTGTGCCTTTGAAATGAGCCCTGCATGGGGCTGCACCCTCCCCAGCCTCAAAGATGGAGAGCTTGGTGGGGAATGGGCAAGGGAAAGTTGGAGAGAGCTCCAAGAGGCACAAGAGAGCAGTCTGAAAACAGGATGAAGATGGAGGCATCCCTGCCTTTCAAGTTTGGGAATGCACAGTGCCAGGCACAGCTTCGTAGAGATTGTAAGTGCTTGCACAGCTCAGGTTCTCTACAGTTTTTCTTTAAGTTGCTCCCTCAAAACAGATGGATTTTCTCTCATTTTCTGTTGTAGGAACTCTTTGTTGACATGACTGTGCGACAAAAACTGGGGCGGGGGATAGTCATGAGGAGAAGTTTCATGGGAGTCATTCTCTGTGGGAAGGGATCCAATGCACTGACGCTGGGTTTTGTTTTGTACCTGGGAAATGTCACTGTGAGCAGCTCTGGGGTGTTTCCAGGTAGAACTGGTGGGGATTGTGTCAGGGGTAGAGCAGATCTCTCTGTTAGTTTGGAGGGGGTGTGTGTATTTTTAAGGAATAACATTTGCCTCAACTGGTAAATTATTTAAACATAAAGAACATTTCCCACCTTCTAGTTACACATCTTTTCTTCCCATCTTTTGACCGTGTGTGCACCTCCAGATCTCTGTCTCTGTGTTTCTATGACATGAAACAGGTCTGGGCATCAGATCAGACCTACCACCCTTGACTCCAACCCACAGAAATGAGGTGCACCTGCCCAAAGGTCTGTTCAAGTCCCACCACTCAGTTCAGTGCCAGGTAACAGCAGAGCTGTGTTCACCCTCTCCTTTGGGCAGCTGCTCTAAGCTAAAACCCAGGGAGATATCTTTGTTTTGTGCACATGGCACCTTTTCTGCTCCCAGCTTGGATCTCGGCAAAGATACAGCTCCAAAAGTTTGTTTTTCAGAGTGAATTCCTCAGTCTGTGATAAAATTCTGCCTGATGATGTGTTTATATCCTGCTCCTTGTGTCCAAACACACATGGGAAGTTGGGCACCTGATGCATTGTTTCTCTGCTCTCTACACAAATTATTTTTCAATGTGTAGATTAATAGACCAAATAGTTAGACCTAATTTGTTGAAATCCTCCTATGTTTTCTTGTAGATTTGAGTTTGAAGTCTGTGGAGAGAGAGGACTGAAGCTTTTCCCAAACTTTTGGTCTCTCCAGGACAGTGAAACATGAACTTATGATACAACCTCTCCTCAGGTACCGACAAGACAAGGTGTGTCTGTCAGTCCCTCCTTCAGCTGCCTCTTTTCACAAAGCCTGTAGGAACTTTAATTATCTATAAAACTTCTACCCCTCTATCAAATATTGTTGAATGAGCTGGCTCTGAATTCCTGGGATTCATGCACTCGCTTGCAGAGTCAGGAGGACTGTCCAAGTGCTTTTGCTCTATATATCTTATATGAATAATATTTCAGAATTTGCTGCCCCTACTCCCTCAGCTGGCCTGAAAGCAGATTTATAAAACACTTTCCCAAGGAAAAACACTTTTACAAACCTTCCTTGGGATCAAAACCTACACCCATGGAATTGATCTGAGGGCTGGAACCCCTCTGCTGTAAAGAAAGGCTGAAGGTGCTGGGATTGTTCAGAGAAGAGATGGCTCTGGGGAGACCTTCTTGCAGCCTTTCAACACATGAAGGGGTTTACAAGAAAGATGGTGGGAGACTTTTAACCAGAGCCTGTATTGACAGGACAAGGGGAAAAGAAAGAGATTTAGGTTGTGCAATAAGAACTTTTTTTATGATGAGGGTGGTGAGACCCTGGCACAGATTGCCCAGAAAAGTCGTGGTTGTTCCATCCCTGGAATTGCTCAAGGCCAGGTTGGACGGGGCTTGGAGCAACCTGGGCTGGTGGAACGTGGACTAAGAGATCTTTGAATGTTCCTTCCAACCCAGGCAGTTCCGTGATGTTCTGAACCGAAAACCCTCTGAGGCTCGACTGACTGAGCGGTTGATCAGCTCCTTTTGTTGGGTTTGTTTTCAAACATTCAGTGACCTTAAGGCAGGTGTTTGTTCTGCCAGGTGACACTGGGGGGACAAGGAGGCATCTTGATGCCCAGCTCTGCCTCATGGCTCTGCTGCCTCCAGTCACCTCTGGGAACTGCTGTGCTGCCTGGGAGCCCGCTCTGGGATGGTGGTGGGGAGTGGTGACATCCTCAGGGGACAAAGTGATGGGCGTTTTTGTCAATCCTTCAGAGCTGTCGTGCCCAAAACCCAACAGCCCAACTTTCGTGAGCAATGCGACACCCCTGCACCCACCCCTGCCCTGCCACCAACACAGCGCCCAGCTGTGGAAAGTAAACCATGTGCAAAACCTCCCACCCGATCTGTCAAAGCAGATCTGTCAAAGGCTGCAGTTTTATGTCAAAACGACTGATTTTTTTTTTTTGCAGGTTGCACATCTGCTTCCTGACAGGAGCTTGGAGGGAGCGTCTCCCGGGCCTCCCCTCGCAGCCGTGTCTGCCGGCTGATGGCTGGATGTTCACCTCAGGCAGAATCGTGGAATCACAGAGTATCCCGAGCTGCAAGGGACTCACAAGTGTCATCCAGTCCAACTCACAGGACACCCCAACAATCCCACCCTGTCCCTGATAGCGTTGTCCAAACCCTCCTGGAGCTCTGGCAGCCTTGGGGCTGTGCCCACTGCCCTGGGGAGCCTGTTCAGTGCCAACCACCCTCTGGGGGAAGAACCTTTCCCTGAGATCCACTCTGAGCCTGCCCTGACACAGCTCCAGCCGTTCCCAGGGTGCTGTCCCTGCTCACAGGAGCAGAGATCGGAGCTGCCCCTCAGGAGGAAGGCGCAGCCCCCTGATGTGCCCCCTCAGCGCCCGTCCCCCATCTGCGGGCTCGCACCGAGCAGCGCTGGGCACGGCCGCGCACCCCGGGGGTCTCCGGGCCGGGGGTCTCTGCCTCAGGCGGGGCCGGCGCCCCCTCCCCATGATGTCAGGGCACGGAGGAGGCGCCGCCGGCCAAATATAGCGGCGCTTCCTGGGCGGCGGGGCGGGCTCGTCCCTCCTCTCCTGCTTCCCTCCCTCCGTCCCTCCTCCCCTGCCTCCTGCCGCAGTCAATGGGGCGGCAGCGGCCGCGGCGGAGCGCAGGGCCGGCGGGGCCGGCGGGGCGGGGGGCGGCATGGCGGGGCGCTGAGGCGGCGAGGCGGCGGCGAGGGGCGCGCCCCGGCATGGGCAGCCGCAGGGCCCGGCGATGAGCGCTCCCCCGGCCGCTCCCGCTCCCCCCCGCGCGAATATGGGCACAGCCGTGTCCAAAAGGAAGACGCTGAGGAACGAGGCCATGTCGTCCGTGGCGGCCAAAGTGAGGTGGGTGCCCTCGGAGGGGTCCCCGCGCTGCCGGGACCCTGCGCGCCCCCGGGGGCTCTGCGGGGCTGGGGGGACCCGAGAGCCTCCGGACGAGCCAAGGCACCGGCTGCGGGCACGGCCCGGGGTTTGTCCCCTAGGGCCATGGTGGGGTTGGGGAATGGCAGCCCTGCCGGTGGGTCCCCCTCGCTGGCTGCCCCGAGCCCCCCAGACCAGCCGCGCACTGGCGGGTGACCCTGCTCCCCCTGAGCCAGCGCTCCATCCGCCTCGGGAGAGGTGACTTCTCTCGGAGGTGTCTCCGCCACCGGCCCGGCGGCAGCGCCCGCAGGTTCTGTTTGCTGGGTTGGCAAGGAGCGTGGATTATGTTAGGGATGGGTCTTTCTGACCTCCGGGAATTGGGAGCGCGGTCGGTTCGGCTCGGTGGGTTCTCCTCGGCTGAAACGCGGTCTGCGTGTCCGAGGGCAAAGTCAGCGGCTCCCGTTTCACTTTGAATGGGAAAACTGCCGTGCGGAAATCTGCACCCACCTCGTCTGCCCTCTCCGGCAGCGTCCCGAGCCCACTGCATGGACCAGTTAAAAGATTTGGGTTCTCTATTGTGCCTGTTTTGCTTTTATATTGCTTGTCCTACAGCGTAGCGTTTCACTCGCTGACTAGTCCCACTGCTTTTCAGTACCGAACACGGGAGATCCTAGAAAATAGATTTGCTGCTTGAATTTACTGGGCTTTAAAAAGCTGTCAGAGATGAGGGTTGCTACAATGCCCAGGTAGGTGGAGAGGACCCTTCTCCCACGCTGCAGTGCAAGTGTCACAGAAATCATCTGGTGACTATCTGGGGGCATTGGCGCAGCTTTTTAGCTGCTCCTACAGCACAGCTGTGCCAAGGGGTAGGTCTGTCGCTGTCGCTGCTACATCTACACCAGCTCTTTGCTGCTGGGAGAAAAATGGGGAGAAATAAACTTTTCAGCTGCATTATGTAACACCTTCTTTGTGTCAGACAAAAATTGCATTTAGAATAACCCGGAGTCATGTGTAGGACGCGATCCCTGTTGCTGAGGGATCTCAGTCACCTCTCTGTGTAACTCAGCATTAATGGCATCTCTGCTGTGCCGGGAGGAAGGAGAAGTCTTGGGGCTTGAAGAGATTAGGAGCTGTCTGTATATTGCCATCTGTTTGAGTTGTAAAGAAATCCATCCTTCAAAGTCTGGAGTGTCTCTTGGGAAGGCTCCCTGGGCAGAGCCTGCAACTTTTCCCCATGTTTTGGTGCACCCTGCCCATAATCAGTAAAGGAAACGCGGGTGCTTTCAGTGGCATCCAGAGATTTGGAAGTGGGATTCTTTTTGGTGACGTCAGCCAGGTGGATATACAGAAACGGCACGTAAAGCACCATAACTGCTGCGATGGGGTTCTGGGAGCGGGATTTAGACAGTCACACAAACAACATATTCGGTAATTGGTAAGATTTCAAATGGCTGCGTGGGTGTTTGGGAGCGACTAATGTGTTTTGAACGTAATGACTTGTTAGCCTACACCAAGGTGGGCAGATGCTACTCGGGTAGTATCAATTGTGTGGAGACTGGGAGGTGCCTCTGGGATTCTGGTTTCCTACATACCTGCTGTAACTACTGACATCCTGCAGGTACAGTTATGTGGGAGTGGGAGTCCTGAGGAGTCTCTTGCTGGTGTGAATTGGGGTGGCTTGACTAAAAAAAGTTAGCTGGACTTGGGCTGGGGAACATAAAGTCCTTGAGGAGTGTCTGGTCACGTAGACCACGGCACAGGACAGATGTTTTTGTGTGTCTCCCTGTTGGTGCCCTGTGCTAGAAATGCCTAATCCTCCTTTGAGGAGGGCAGAGAACCTGCTGAGGGGCTCCCTGCAGTGCCTCTTTGCATGGAGAAGGTGCTGTCCATGTGCCTCCATCCCGCCTCTCCATGCACAGCTCAGCCCCTCCCTCCTGTGGGCTCTGCCACCCTTAGAATGTCCCCAGTCGTGATGACCCACCTGCTGAAAGGTTTCCTACAGGCTTCCCAGAGCACATCACACACAGCCCCCCTGCTCTGCCCTGGATCCTCCCCCATGTATTCCCTGTGTCCTTATCTACAGCAAGGACTCTGCAGGACACTGGATAAGGCTACAGAGACTGTTCCGTCCATCCCTCGAGTGCTGGGTCTTGTGTCACCTGTGTGGTAGCACTGCTGCAATGATCAGGTGCCCTGTGGGTACAGGCAGCTGTAGAATCCTGCTCCTGTGCTGCAGAAAGAGGTGCCCTGGGATTTTTGTCTGTCTCTCCTGAGCTCTGCCCTGTTCAGATTTCTCACGACTTTTTCTTTGGAGAGAAAAATCATCTCCTGAAATCCTCCGCAAGTCCAAGGGGCCACTGATGTGTATTTATTATGAATGGATGGAGTCTGTGTGCACACTTGACTCTTACTGAGCGAGGAGCATGGCTTGTTTGCTGGCGTGAATAATGGGATCTGAGCGGGAGGTGCAGGCTCCCCGGATTGTTAAATTAAAACCTCTGCAGAGCGGCTCAGGGGAGTCTCCTGTCCCAGGAGAATTAATTAAGCTCCACACGGCTTGTTGTGTGCTAAGGTCTTTTAAACAGCTTCTTCCAAACTGACAGCACGGTTGCTCCGTGCCTGCCTTGTGGGGAGCACCCCCAGTGCTGCTGGCTTGGGTCTCTGTAGTCGAGCTCTCCCGAGGGAGTTGCAGCGACCTGCGCCGATTCCGCGCTCACACCCGGGCAGTGGCTGAGCTTGGAGCTGCTGCTCTGATCTCATCCGAAGTGCTGGGCTGTGAGATCTCCCTGTCGGGCCGTTTCCTCCCTGTGAGTGCATTTATTGCCCTGTGTGCAGCTCCTGAGTGCCGAGGGCAGGGATGACGCAGTCGTCCTTGAGCCGTGACCTTGGTGCTGCCCCCTCCGACCGACGGGGCTGCTGCGCTTCGGGCTCCTGCAGGGTCAGGGGGTGTCTGACCTGTGCTCCTTGGCTTTCCCAGCACACTGCCAAGGGTGCAGATGAACCCTTAGAAACAGGCTCTCTTTGCCCTTGCTGCCTTGACACCTACAGAAGAATACTGGCACCCCAAATGGGGCAGTAAAGGAAGTCTTTTCCTACAGCTCCACTTTGGAGTGTGCTGTTCTCTGGGAGAGCGTGGCAGTGCGAGCAAACGGACATGAGGCTCTTGCTGGCTGTTCCAGAACCATCTCTCCTTGCTGTAGTGAGCACAGGAAATATTTGAGTTGAGAGTGTGGTTCATCTTGCCCAAGTCCAGGACTTCGGCATCTAGTCCAAGATACCCCAAAAAGATACAAGGATTTGGTCTCCCTCTCTGCTGATTAGAGAGGGCTGGAGAGTGGCTTTAGTGGCATTAGTTGCTGTGAAAGGGTAGGTTTTGCACTGACAAAGTGCAGAGGTACTTGGACATGTTCCTTATCCCAGATTTCTTGCTGTGTGAGAGATTTTTGGCTTAGGCTGGGGGGTTCTTCATGGAGTCTAGATCCTTTTTTTCTGCCTGTGAATGTTCTGGTGAGTGGTATGAACTCTCTCATGCTTTGATTGCCTTTTTCTTTCAACTTCTTCCTGCTTTTCCTCTCTCCTCCTGTCCAAACTTCGTGACTAAATTCCTCCAGGGCTGTGGGGTCTTGGACTTCATGATCCGTTGCTGACATTCTTCACTTTCCCTTCCTTGAGAGTGAGAATTTTCAAATTAAATTTTTCCAGCTCCCATCTCTCTACATAGATATTTCAGAAAACTAATTTTCCTCAGGGTATTGTTACTATTAGGCTTAAATAACGTAGGTGTCAACAGTCTTTAATGACTGAGCTGTTAACTGTGGGTATGCTGGAGGTGTTCCCTTCTCTGCTTGATGACAAGAGCGGGATTGCTGCTGTAGGAGGACGTAGGTCCTGATGATGCAGGAGGTCTCTTGTCTCCTGTTTGCCTGAGATGCAGCACTGTCAGCTGCTGTCACAACAGATTCCTGCTGCAGCTCCTCTGGGCATTACTTCTGAAGGAGCACAAGAAGGTGGTGGGTGTTCTTTATTTTTTCCATGTAATACTTTTGAACAGTCCAGGTTTTGCTTAGCTTGCTCTAAATGGAGTTATCTGAGGTCTTTCCTGTCTCTCTGAGTGTTTCAATCCACATTTCTTCACTCAGTTCAGTGTCAGTTTGGTGGATTGCATAAATTTACGTGCACCAATTTCTCATAGCTGCTAGTGTGCATCAAGGCCCCTTTTATCCAGCTGATGTGATTATTTCAGAGACATGAAGGCTATTCCATGCTTATCACGCTGTAATTGAGCTCTTTGTTATTTGGTGGCTTCGCTCCTTCTAGCAAATCTCTGTCTAGACTGGCTGCGCTTCTCGCAGTTCTGGTCCAGAGCCGGGTCCAGCTCTGCCATCTGACGCACAGTGAGTACTGAAAATGCCCCCCTGAAGGGCAGCTGCCTTTGCTGCCTGCGTTGTGCTGCCCCAGCCCGCCCTGCTCGCTCCTGAAGCCGTTCTGCTGGAATGCTGCAGGAGGGGCTGGTGGTGTCTGGGGCCGTGGCAGGCTGGTCTGTGCTTAGGCTGGGCAGCACAGCGTGCTAAAGCTGAGGTCCCTGCTCGATGTCCTTCTGTTACATCAAGCTGTGCTGACTGTGTAACATGCAGGTCTGATCTGCCACTAAGATGAGAACCTGCAGATGAGTCAGGGCTAAACTTGTCATGTCATCAGCTGATAACCTCTCAGTACTACCTGCTCATTTGTATGCAGCTTTTGCACTGTCATACACTCAGGGTTATAGCTCTCCAGCCCGTGCAGCTCTAAGGCACCTTGCAGCTCATCTCATTTATGTGAAACAAGTTTTCTTTTTCATCCTTGGCCAGCTAAATTATCCCAAAGTGTCTCTGCTCTGAGCCCAGTTGAAGAGTTTTGTGTCCAGTGCCATCTGACGGTGTGATGGGGCTTGAACTCCATTGCTGATGACAATGGAGGCAAAGCTGAGCTGGGAGAAAAGTCTGATTGTGTGACTTGTGGTAATACAGGGTGTAGATTAAAGGGTTAGAAAAGAATGGCATGAACAGAGCAGCTACCATCTGTTTGAATTTTGCTCTGGCTTTATTTTGATGAAACCAATGGGTAGCCAAGGAGAGCGGGGAATGGCACAGCAATGATATGGGCAGGTGCTGGTAAACTGGGGTGGCTGTGAGCACAGTGAGGGCAGAGAAGGAACACAAAAGGCTTGGCAAGGGGAAAACAGGCATAAGGAGCCATCAGCATGGCCATCAGAGTCCCCTTGGCAAAGGGCACGTGCAGACATCAGTGGGAGATCCTCTGAGGCACAGCCAAGGAGGAGCCGATGGCACTTGGGAAGCAGGAATGCAGAAGAGAACCACTGAGATAATAGGCAAAATAATTAGCCTGAAGTTTGCGGTGTAATTGGCTGGAAACCCCCCGTTGCACAGTGTGCTGTGCAGGCGTCACCGCCGTGTTTGCTGCCGGGGCAGAGCAGCGACCGCGTGTCTGAGTTTGCTCTTGGCTTGGCCTGTGGGGTCCGAGAGCTGTGGGGGTGGAAAGGCAGGGACAGAAGTGCAGGTTCAGCCAGGGCAGGGCAGCAGGGCTTTGGAGCAGCCCTGTGCTCCTCCACTGGGCTTCTGTCCTGCACGAGAGGTCTGGGTATTGCCTGTTCCCTGGGGGCTCTGGCACTTGGGATTGCACCCTCCTGCCTCGTGTGCTTGGGCAAACAGGAGAGGGAGGTTAGAGACACTGCAGCACCTCTCTGCTTGGGCTCCTGCTCTGAGTGACACTGTTTTCACCATGGAAAGCATTTCACCATGGAGGGTGGCATTGTTTCTCTCTGGCTCTGTGTTAGCCAGTTTTCAGTCTGGCTCTTAGGAAGTGTTTGGTACTAGTTTTTTGAGCCTGCGTTGGTTCAGGTTTTCAGAGAGACAAATCAGCTTCAGGCGTCGGCAGAGAGATGAATGGAGAGAATGATAGATGATCTAGGAGCTTCTGAACTAGCTACAGACTACATTTTATCATCATATTTCACCATTTTTTGTGTAAATCCCCTTGTTCTCTCACTGATAAATTATTACCTGAGAACTTGATCGTTGTTGTTTTATCTACACAGAATAACTGCTGATGCAAAAGAGAAGCTTCAGAGTCTTTCCCAAGGGTGTAAGAGCTCCGTTTGTGAATGGTGTTGGTGATGCCTTGCAAGGACAGACATTTCCTTGGGAAGCCTTGGAGTCCCAGAAGTCTTGGTGGAAGGGATCTTGGAAGTCTCGAGCCCAGGCATCTGCTCAAAGCTGGGCTGTTGCCGATGCTGTGCAGATCAGCTGGGGCTTTGGCTGAGCTTTACCACCTCTGCCATGGAGTGCAGGAGTAGCTCAGGAGTGCTCTTGCAGCTGCATATCCTGATGATAGAATCATAGAATTATTTAGGTTGGAAACGACCTCTGAGGTTGAGGAGTCCAACCACAAACCGAACGCTGCCACATCCACCACTAAACTGTGTCCCCAGGTGCCACATCTGCTTGTCTTTTAAATCCCTCCAGTAATGGTGGCTCAACTACTGCCCCAAATTAACCACATTCCAGCTCCCAACTCTGCATTTGTTTGTTGTCCTGGGACCAAGTCCTGCTTTTTGCCCGGACAGAAAGGTTGGTGGAGGGAACATCCATGAGTTGCTTTTCCTCCTGGATTGGGTGAACCTTGATGATCATCCCTCTGTTGTTTGTAGTGGGGGTTGTGGGATGGTTGTACAGCTCCCCCTGTGACAGAGCCTCTGTGTGACCATCTCTAGGTGTGCTTAGGCACTGAGGAGGACAGTTTGGGCAACTGCCACCCCAAATGAGTGTCCAAAGGTACAGCCTGGGACTGGACAGGTGAGGATCCAGAAACAGGGAAAAGCTCAGCGCTGGATGTTAGTCTGTAAAGATGCAGAAGCTTAAACCTTGCTTCTTGCACAGCTCCAGCTGTGCTGCTCCAAAGCATTTTGCATTGGGCTGTGCTGAAATTTAGTCCCAGGGAGATTAAATTACTCTTTCTTCATTGTTCTTATTGATCCCGCGTTGCCGGCTCAGGATGACAAATGGACTTCCCGCTCCCTCCAGCCCGAGTCGTGCTGGGAGGTGCGTTCCAGCTTTGTTAATTTTTCCCCTTTGGGAGGAGGTGCCTAAAAGCAGTGGCAACACAAGTTGGGGTTTGCTGCTGCGTCGGGTAGCAAAGCAGAAGGTTGTTTTGGAGGTCAAAGCCGTTTTCCACTTAGATATTTAGTGGCCCTTAGGAGATTTTTGCAGCAGCTTGAACTGGAGAGGGATGTTGAGGTTGAGAATGTCTGAAGGAGGAGGACAGTGGGTGTGGTACCTTGATGTGGACAGTCTCCCTTGGTGCAGCAAGTCTTGTCTCCTTCCCAAGAGATGCTGCTGTGCTGGTGGGCTCTGGGTCTGTTGGCGTGGCTTGCCAAGGAGATGGGTGGCTGTCTCACCTCCCTCTTTGTGAGGCCCATCAGCAACTCAGCCTGATTGTGAGGCTGCAGACCCTGGAGAGATTGTTGTACAAACCTGGGGAAGATGGATGGCTGGGGAAAAGCTGGCATTAGTGTTGGCTCTCTTGAGTCACAGGTCTGCTGGGTACAGAATAACAAGCACTGCAGCAGGACTGTACAAAAGCCTTGGCAGTTGGAGTCTGGAGATTACTGTATTCCAGGGAATGCATGCCTTGACCAAGGATTCCTTTGCTGTGTAGGTTGCAAGCAGAAAGCTTTTCCCTAGTTGGAATATTCATAGGTTTGCTCTCTTACGTAGGCCTTGATGTGTGATAAGGGTTGAGCTCCCCCTGCTTCGTTGGTTCTTAATATATTCCAATAAAATCTCGGTCATCCACGGGACCTCAATCCATCAGAGAACCAGGAACTGCTTTTTGGGGTAGTTGTGGGTGTCTCTCAAATAAGCTTCTCCAGTAATCCAATCACTGACATAGTTGGTGCTTGAGAACTTGGGGTGCAGGTGGTTAAAATGAGCATTAGCATTCGTGTCTAGGCTCTTGCAGCTCACGGGTGGGAGCACTCAGGACCTGAGTAGGAGGTTGGAGAGGTGGTTGGTGCTGGGATGGAGATTCCTCCTTCTGTGAGCTGCCAGGAGGGGGTTGAAGACAGTGAGCCAGTTCCTGTGTGCATCAGAGAAACAAGGCCAGATTTAATGCAGGTGCATTTCAATTTTAGTTTTCAATTTTAACAGGGAAGGTAAAGACTAACGTAGTCCTGGACTTCTAGTGCAGCTCTGTTTCCCCCTCTGGCCAGCAGAACACTGTGTAGCCAGGAAGCCCTCACTGCTGTGGCAGCAAGTTAGCACTGGTGTCACCTGGGGCTGAGGGAGTGGCAGCTGCAGGAACTCAGCAGTGTGTTGGTGTTGAACTGTTCCTTCTTGCCTCGCCCTTTAACCACTCCCCATCTCTGTCTCTCTCCTTTGCCGGGACGCGCAGAGCGGCGAGGGCTTTTGGAGAATACCTGTCACAAAACCACCCCGAAGGCAGGAACGGCTCAGGTAAGAGAACTGCTGTGCCTTGTTCGTGTCCGTGTGTGCATGCACCTACTGCTGGATAGCCCTAAAGTCACAGTGCATTTATTTGTCCTAAAGGGTCGGTGGGAGAGCTCAGCAGGAGTCGCTCTCGAGGAGAAGAGGCAGTTTGGTGACTCAGTGCTGGGTGGGCTGTGGGGACAAGTTCACTTTCAGCGGGCAAGTGCCCTGTGGTAAATGCACCCCTGGAGCTGATGTCCCTGGGAGAAGTTTCAGCTGGGAGGTGACAGCACTGCACAAGGTTTCTGCAGTGGTTTGTCACTCCTAGGTCTTGCTTTCACTGGGGACTAAGAAAAGATGAGTTTTAGTGTGGTCAGTGGTGTGCTTAGTGTATGTGCAGCAATCTGTCCTTGCTGGCAAAGGTAACATCTGGATTTATTCCCAGGGTTTGCTTCCACAGGGGTTAAACTGAGAGTTGCCCAGTTGAGGGCATCAGCCAGTTAATGTGTCAGTATTTTAGATGCAAGGTATTGTCCCCATCAGCTTATGATGAGTTCTACTTGATGGGCAAGAGAGCACAAGAGAAACTCACTCGACTTCTAGCAGGGCTCTGCCTTCTCTGTGAGGAAAGAAAATATTTTGCAGACAATACATTCTCTAAAAAAGTCTATAGAAAATCTTGTGGAATCCACAGAAAATCCTATGTGAATAAGTAGCAGATTGTTCTGTACTGTTGAACTGTTTTGCAGGGGATAAAGTTATTAAACAGAACGTGATGTAGGGTGGTGTTGTAATTTTAGGTGATTTCTGTGTGTGTTTAAACCTCTTGCTGAAAGAGCAAGCCCAGTCACACTAGTCTGTGGCAGCCAGCTGAATGAGTCCCTGCCTTTTTTCTTGGATCTGTTCTAATGACCTTCAAGTTGTCCTTGGCTGAGTTGTGCTAACACTGTGAATGGAAGGGATCTAAAACAACGTACTGCAATTTTCCTGGATGTTTTTCAGGCATGAGGAACTCCAGTGACACTTTACTTACAATATTTGGTCTAAGAACAGCCCGTGGTGGTAGGAAGGGAAGGGTGGGGAAAGGCTGGGGTTTAGTGCAGCTGAGATGAAGTGTCTGGGAGGCAGAGGAGGAAGGGAGGGTTGGACAGACAGGCTGGCAGGAGCTTCCCAGGGTGGCAAAACCATCCTTCCATCGTGGCCATTTTGCAGCTGTTCCTGCCAGCTGGAGTCTTTGCTGGGCCTTTTTTTTTGCAGCCTCCCAGCCCAGTTTCCAACAGGGAGAAGTGGTGGCTCCTGCTCCCTTTGTAGTGCCCTCATAGCACCTGTGGGGTCACATTGAGGCCAGGCAGGGAATCCCTGATGGAGACAATTGCAGGTTTGTTCAGGTGCCTGAGGGCTGGGGAGCTCTGCTCACGTCCAAGGAGCAGGAGCCTCTCTGACTGCACTTACAAAGCTGTTGTTGTTTACTCAGCCTTAGGGGTGCTCCTGGTTGCTTGTTCCTCGTGGACTGTGGGTAAGGAGAACATGGAAGTGGAGCTGATGTGACTCCTGGATAATGTGTTGGGCTCCCCAGAGCACCATTTCAGCCCCCTCTGTGCTTGTTACACATCCCTAAGCTCTCCAGGGAAGCCTTTTCACCCACTGCCCCTTGGTGTGTCAAGCTTGAGATTGTCTTGAATCCAAGTGAATTTAGTTGCCACAGGCAAGAATCAAGCTGTGAGAGGTACACATGGAAATACCACAATACTTATGGGATCCTCAAGTACTCACTTGGAAATAAAAAAATTCCCTAGAAATTACTCTAAATTCTAAAGGGGGGTTGGGGGGGAGAAGAATCGTCATTTTTAAGTCATCTTCTGAAATCCTGCAGTGTATAATTTAACACAGTCTGTAACACTTCTGTATAAATAACCATGGTAGGAAGGTTGCTATCCTATAAAATATGTTGAGAGTAGAAAATTTGGCTCCCTTTTATTCATCCCACTAGTCCAGTCACAGGGAAGTCATGTCTTTGCTTCCTGCAGAGATTCTGTCATGGGATCACAGTGCAAGTTTCTGAAGGCTGCACCTTTGGCTGGGCAGAGTGGTGGAGCTGTAGGATTAACTCTCAGTTGTGGTTTTTGAGGAGCAGGAAGGTGGTAGAGCCATTAGAGGGACAGCTGAAAGCCTGGAGGGAGAAGGGAAGGGAAGGATCCTGCTCTTCTGTGGATCCAGGAGCTTGAACCCTCTCCCTGCAGAGGGCAATCCTCATGCAGAAAATGAGGTGGGTGTGTGTCTTTGGGCTGTCAGCTCTTTTGCTGCTTTACCTGCTAATCCAGCCCCAGGAGACCGACCTGGGGGAGATACCAAGTGTGCAGACACTGCCCCAGCTTGCTCCACTTCTGCTGCACTTTGTTCTCTGAGGATTGTCCATTTTGCTCTGACTTCTTTCATCTTTAGAGTCCCTTGACTCCAAGGAAAGGAAATGGTCTAATGGCTTTTGTATCCCTCATAGGATCACGTTCTACAACTGATCAAGGAGCTTGTTCTTCAGTGGTGACTTCCACACCACAGAGTCTATTTGTGCTGAGTCCTTGCTTTCTTTTGTATCTTTCTGGTACCTTCCAAAGACTTTCCATCTTGTCTGGGGCATGGTTTTAGTGTAGGAGGAAAGGACTGAAACATTGTGGAAGTGTAAAAAAGGCTGCAGGGGACAAAGCACAGAAGAAATAACCTCTCAAAGTGTCACCAGAGCTCATGGAATTTTGGACAGTTCCTTTCTCCCAACTTAGATGTCAGAGGCCCCACACTGAGATAATGGTTTAGATTTTGTTATCTCCTTGTACTGACACTGTGAGAGGAGAAGGTACCCAGGGCAGCGATATTAAAAAGGACAGCAAGCAGAGCCTTTGAGAAGCTCCCTCCTGCCTGGGGAAGCAGTGATGCATGCCAGTGAGCTGGGAGTCAGACACAGTGATCCTTGGAGGAAAGAGAGGGAGCTGTGTGGGTTGTTTTCCTGTTACTTTTTTCTCAGGCAGTTTTGGGGTTGTTGGGAGGGAGCTGCTGCTGCTGCTGCTGCTGCTGTGAGTGCAGGGCTGTGGGATGCAGCTCTGGGCTGCCCTGGGATTGACTGCTCTGGGCAGGATGAGTGGGAAAGGCTCTGGAAGCAAGAGAAAGGAGAGACCCCAGTAGATATAAGGTGTGCTTTGTGCAGCAGAGGTGATGGATGGGCCATGGGCCAGAGCTACCTCACTGATTTTGACCCAAATTTGATGTGATTTTTGCCAAAACAGCTTGGCCACTGGCTTGCATCAGTACAAACCAAAGGGGTGGTTACCTGAAACCGCAACAAGCTTCCTTTTAAGCTCAAAAAAGATCATCTTCATGTCTTTCCTTTGTTTTTGCCTCGTGTTTCAGTCATCAGTGCGATGTGTGAGGAGAAGAGGGCACTTGTGAGCCAAATGACAGTGGGGAGGGGTGGCAGGAACAAAGCATGTTACACCTGTCCCAGGTGCAGAGCCTGCGCCGGGTCAACCCATGGTATTTGCAGCCTGGGCTTTGGCTGCCTCTGAAGAGGCTGGGAGTGTGTGTTGAGGAGCAGCCACACCCAGAGGAGCCTCCTGACGCTGCCAGAACCGGCCTGGGGCTGGAGAGAACCCGGTGTGAGGCCCTGTAGGTGCTTCAGGCTAAAACAACCTGCGAGCTGTGCTTTCTGTACCTCCGTGAAGTGAAGCTGGAGCTGTGCAGTGCTCTGAGGGACCTGCAGTTTGCCCCTGGTCAGGCTGTGGAGCTGCCCGTGGAGCCTGGTGCAGGGTAAGCACCAAGGAGGCCTTTTTTGTGTAGAGGATGTTTGCCCTGTCCCCAGGATGGGCCAGCAGTGCCCCTGGCCCTGCTCCCAGTGTGATGAGGTGGCCTTGAGCAGTGGGGGTGGCCTTTCTAGAAAGAGCCTGTGCTCTGGAGGGGCTGTAGGCGTCCTGAGCTCAGGGCAGAGCAGGGATGTGAAGCCTCATCTCTGTGGGTTTCAGGCCACTTCCAGCATAAGCCAGAGCAATTATGGTGTGGGTGTATCCTGAAATTTGCCATGGAATGTGTTGCTGGCCTATAAAGGGAGTGAAAGCGTAGGTCACAGTGTTTCCATGGAGATGCTGAGGCCAGTGATGGAGCTGCCACTTGCTCCTTTGGGTCGTGTCTCACCGTAACAATTTCATCTGTTCACATTAATGTTAGAGGCCAGACTAAAAGGTTACTCACCTCTGAGACACTATGTCAGTACTATCTGGAGTTTGTTTGTTTTCTAGGCCCATTTGAGCACAGAAGACCAGTTGGAACCATTTTGTCATAGCTAAGTGACCTTGTGGTTTCTCAGAGCAGCTCCCTTACAGAAGCAGCCCTTGCCTCTTCCCTGTGGCTTTGCAGGGAGGTGTGTGACATTCCTTCCTCGGGAGCAGTGGGGTCGTGGGGCCCAGTACAGTCACAGCAGGGCTGTGGTCAGGATTTGGGTAACCCACAGTGAACACTGTGCACATCATCATGCACAGATCAGGAAGGACAAGGAGCTACTGCAGAGGGTCCAGCAGAGGTCACAAAGATATGAGGGGTCTGGAGCATCTCTCACACAAGGAGACACTGCAGGAGCTGGGCCTGGTTAGTCTAGAGAAGAGAAGACTCAAGTGGGATCTCATCAATCCATACAAATATCTCTAAGGCAGATGCCAAGAGGACGGTGCCAGGCTCTGTTCAGTGGTGCCCAGCGACAGGACAAGAGCAATGGCCATAAACTAAAACACAACTGAAACACCTCATTATGAGGCAGAACTCATTTCCAGGGAGGTGGCAGAGCATGGAACAGCTGCCCAGGGAGGGTGTGGAGTCTCCCTCTCTGGAGACATCCCAAACCCACCTGGATGTGTTCCTGTGTCACTGCTGGGGGTGACCCTGCCTTGGCAGGGGGTTGGACTGGATGATCCCCAGAGGGCCCTCCCAACCCCAGCTATTCTGGGATTCAGTGATTCTGTTCACTTGACCCTGAAGCTCCTGCACGACTG